CCTTGTGTTACTTATGTCAGAGTCTGCCAATTCTGGTGAAACGTTTCCCTTGTGGCAAAATGCTCTGGTGGCACCCTAATCTCTGGTGACTCCCTACTGTCTGATGGCTTCCTGCTGGTGACAATACATCTGTCATGACACTGACTTAAGCGAGATCTATCAGAATTTTTCTAAGTTAGGCTTAGGGCCTACTATTTTCCACTTGGTATCACCCCAACCTAGGAGAGTGTAAACAGTGTGTTTTGCACCCCCCACTTGTTATGCTACTAAGATAATGTAGTCTTTGTTGCAGCTCCCTGACAAAAGACCAGCTTTTACTCTATATCATAATTTATGTACTTGAAAAGTTAAGTTTTAATTTTAAAGTATATATCTAAAATTTAATGAAATATTGACTCTACAAGATAATGCTCCTTTTTAGGATGTTGGCTTTGAGTACTGTACCACATGTAATATTCTTCATAGCAGCAACATCAGCAGGTATCGGAAGTGTGAAAGTTTTGAAAGTTAAAAATCTGCTGCTTGTTGATTATATAATAATTGTACCTTTGTTCTGTTGTCAATTAAAAAAAACTTGTATTATTTTTAAAGAATTTACATTGTGTTTTATAATTTTTGTAGGTTATAAAGTTGAGAATTGTATTTAAAAATAACATTTTCAATGTGGTAAATTGATTGCACTTATCATCATCTCACTCTTCATCGTGAAGATTATGGATCTTAAATTCCCAATTAATCCAATTTTAATTAATTTTACTAATGTTTTGATTATTTTTAAAACATCTAACTGTTCTATAAAGGTATAGGCTAAAGCAAAGCAAATTACAATTTAAAGTTATATTGCTCCTTTAAAATGAATACTTTATAGCGAAAATGTATGTCTTTTAATCTTTGCAATATTGAATTGAAGATCTACTGGATTTGTTATTTGTTGTTTATAAAAGCCCTTTTGAGTAATAAAAAATGATGGACATTGAAATCTCTTTTAAATTTGCATATACAAATAATCTTTAAACTTAAATCATCAATAATTATTTAAATGCTTTGTACTTTTAAAATTTTTGTTTCTAAAATACATTGTTACTAACATTTCTTTAACACTTTTATTTTAAAACACAGATTTTTATTTTTAGGACAGTTAATTACTTAGGCCTATGGATCAAGGTCAACTGTCACTGGTATGATGGTATTTTTCAAGAAATTAAATATCTATTAAGAAGGGCTAACACATTCATAAAATCTAATGAAATGATATTGGAAGTTCTAGTATATATTACATTGTTTAAACTGTGTGCGGATAAATGAATAATCTCTTAAATTATTGTACACTTTTAAATGTAAGTTATTTTGCATTTAAATTATAAATAGAACTTGTATGTATAGTCTATGTGACTTCTTCAGTTTCAAGGCCGCCGGGTGTCTATGAAGAGCCACCTAATGATGTTTATTTCAAAGCTGGTGAAACTGTTCAAATCGTCTGTAAGGCAAATGGTGAACCAAGGCCATCGTGAGTATTCGATTCCTTGTAAGCAAATAATTGGCAACTCTGTTTTTCACAGATAAACCGAGACTATATGCCATAACTTATATGGGATCTGTATTGCTTTTGCAGTTTATAATCATATTGATTGGTCGTATCATTTTAGTATAAAATTGGCTTATTGTATCTTTCCAGCTTTGACTGGAAGAGAAATGAGATTGCGTTTAATCCCAGTGGCAATGATGACAGGATCGTGCAACTCTCAAATGCCGGAACCCTTGTCTTTAACAGACCGGAGGATAAAGATGAAGGGATATTTCAGTGCTTTGCCAGGAATGACTTAGGAGTCTCCACCAGTAAAAAGATTAACCTCAGACTAGCAAAACTGGCAACCTTTGAACTCATGCCTCCCACTTATCACAAGCCAGTCCTGGGCCGACCATATTTTCTGCCATGTGTTCCACCCGAGAGTGTGCCACCTCCCGGTGTCTTTTGGATCACAAAATCTTCTTCTGGTGGAATTGATGTAGTGGTCTATGATGCCCGTGTCACCATGGACAGAGAATGTAGGTTTTTAATTATCTGGACACTGTAATTTTTTTAAATCTTTGCAAATACATATTTATACACTGGTTTTTTCAGCATTTAAATCAAATTGAAATAAGTACTCTATTACATTTTGTATAAATTTTACAGTTTACAAGTTCAAAGTTTTACCATCTTACCACATGATTTTTTTTTTTTTCTAAATATTTTAATGTGTCCATTAAACTCAAATAACAAAAATTAAAAACACTTTTTCAGATCGACTCAGATTTAGTAATATCAAAAAAGAAGATGCTAAAAATGGTATGCCGTATGCCTGTGTGGCAATGAACAACATTATGAGACGGAACTCACAGGGACCATTACATTACATTCAGCCAAGTGGAGGTGAGCGTTGATATATCCATGGCATGTGCACATATTTAAATGGCAAATTACTTGCCTTTTAAATATTTCTCATTAAAAAATATACAATAGGCACTCACATGTAATTCTAATTTTTTCTTGCAGCCACAGAAGATTACATGCCTGTAGAATATTATTGGTCTGATCAAGATGACAGATTTGGGCTTCGTGGGGATACCTTTACAGTAAAGTGTATTTTCTCTGGAAAGTGAGTGAGCTTTATGATTTTATTGTTGGGCCAATAGATTTTAACCTCCTTGGATAATAAAGAATATTGAATTATTTAAAAGCTTTCATGAATTTTAAATTTACTTATGTCAAAAATATTTTTAAAAATGATATCATATTTCATCCTGACAATAATCCTACCTGGCTTAAATATAATAATATATCACTTTTATAATTACTAGGCATGCTCCATCCGTAGATATTTCAAACTATACTAGTCTATATATGTTTTAATTAACTAAAATATTATATATATATAAATTATCGTTCATAAGATTAACAAAAAATAATATTGACACTGAGAAAAAGTATTATCAAACGATATAAGTAAATAGTATTTCTTAATTGTAAATCTTGAATTTTCTCAAAGTCCTACCCCTGACATTTATTGGGAAAGAACAGACAATCGCTCTCTACCTGACCGTGCCCAGCTGAAGAGTTTTGGACAAGAGCTTGAGATTACAGACCTGCAGTTTGAAGACGCTGGAACATATGAATGCTGGGCAACAAACTCAATGAGCAGAGAACGTAAAATTCGCAACTTTCACATACGAGTCAGCTGTAAGCCCAATTAGAGTTCATTCCTTTCATAATAAGGCACACATACACATTTTGGTCATGAAATATGTCTTTTGTTTTGAACTTAAGCTGTTCTTTTCACATAGGCTAGCCATGTAATTAAAAATGGTGGAAATTTTCAGGTGATTTTTTAAAAGTTTGTGTACTTCTGAAAAATACTGAAAGGATGTGAGTTTTAAAAATGATGTTATAAATACTAATTTAGCTTATTCCAACATTTCCACTACATTTTTAGCTTAAAAAACTAAAAATTAACAATGTATTTTATGCATTGTCATTTCTGGATCAAACATTTAAGCTCCTATTGCTGTCCTTGGGACAGTCTCTGTTTTATATACTTGTCAAAATTTTGGATCCCGTTCACAAATTGAAAATAAAAAAACTGAGATCATGTGTTCAGGATTATTATTTAATTGTTTAAATTAAAATTAAAAACTGTATTTAAACACCATTCTTTTATGACTGCCACTCATCATAGGAGATTACTGAATATTTTAGATCATCTCATCTACAGCAAGACCCTACTTCCTTCAGGAGCCCAAAGATATTGAAGCAGGTGTTGGCACAAATGTCCTGCTGACTTGCATAGCAGGGGGTGTACCAGATCCTGATATAAATTGGTACATTAATGGAGTAGCCCTTAGAGGTGGGTCATATAGACAATTTTTTTTTACCACATTTGCATATTACTTCACAAGATTGTGTTCATGTTAGGGTTGGTTGCAAAATGTTCAGATTCTAAAAGTTTTAAATTTTGCAAACTAACTGCCTTCAATCAAATGTGAAAAGGAAATTTTAAAGCTTGGGTCACTTTCTTGATATGGTACATATTCTTTTTAAAAATCTAAATAACATGACAAGCGATAATCATAGTTTTAATTAGTCATTTTACATTAGATATGAAATTATATGACAAAATTATTGGCAAACCTTCCCTGGAAAATATTTTTTAAAATTTTACCGCCCAAGTTCCAGTCTGCCCAAACGACATTTATGACATTGTATTAATCAAAGACATTAAAGTTTCAAGTAAAATTCTGAACCAAATGCAAATTCCTCCTCCCACTGTTAACCTAGTATTGTTGCTTGTCATTGTTCACTTCCTAAATTTAACTTAAGAAATTACTCTCAAGCCATGTTGAATTATATTTCAGACGTGACGGATCCAAGAATCACTGGAGGCAGATTTAAAAACCAACGGGAGGACAAGATCCTGTTTGAGAACCTACAACTGACGGACAGCATGGTGATCCAATGCAATGCATCCAACATACATGGATATGTGTTTGCAGATGTCTATCTCAATGTAAAATGTCAGTCTTTTTTTTTTATCTGGGCTTTCAAGTACAACTTTTGTATACTTCTTATTTATTTACTTGCAGTTGGGAGCAAACTTTTTCTGAGTCATATGGGGAAAATGCCTCCCTTTAAAGATTAATTTTCTTAGGTCATTTTCTGCATCAATTATCAAAATGTAGTCAAAATAGAAACTATATCCCGCCAGTGTCCTGGTTATCATAAGGTACTGGTTTCATTATCTCAATTATAATTTAATAATATCAGATCTTGATGAGTTGAATATGTGGATGATGTGAGAAGCTGAATGGTCAGAAAGAAAAATTGTTTCAATTGCTGTTGAAATATAGTTTTTAATTTCCCTTTGATCTCGCCACCTCAGCTGAGGCACCAACTATTGTTGAACCTCCTCTGCCCCAAATGCTTGCGGCCGAGGGTCAGCCTGTCACCCTTACATGTCGGACCACAGGCAAGCCGGATCCTGTCATAATCTGGTTTAAGGACAGCACACAGATCACAGGTGGTCGCTTTAAACTGCTTAGCAATGGAGACTTACACATACAGGTATGTGCACTCAGGCATGAGTGGGTCATCTGCTTCTGATATCAACTTTTCTAGATTGGATTTTTGTTGCACTTGTAAAAAAGCAACAAATTTACCTTTTTTTCACAGAATGAAATAATTCATGAGAATTATATTTTCACTGTCAGCTTATTGTTTAGGCCATTGCTCCCAACCAAACCTCTTTGTACATTATGGATCAAAGTAAAATTTCAAATAATTTCAAAACTTGCTAAATAAATATAAATTTAAAAAAACAAAACTTTGTTTTTAAAAATTTAACATCCCTTTAATTGATTTTGTCTTTAAAAATGACACAATTAATTCACATTTAAAACCACTGATTTAATCATATTATTTGCCAGTTTTCTTATACAGTTGTATTTATTTTCCATTTTTTTAAAATCATGAGATAAGTAATATTTTTCCTGTAAAAATTATTATAAGTTTTTTAAGTTTTTTTAACATTAGTCAAGAAATGAGAATTAAAAAACCATTTTCTTTTATCAATGTCCATTTTAGTCTGTTGTTCTGGCTGATGCTGGACAATTCAGATGTGAAGCTAAAAATATCTTCAACATGACAAGTGCAGAGAGTCTGCTCATTACAAGGCGGAAAACGAGAATAGAAAAGATGCCTTTTGATCAGGAGGTGATAGCAGGGAACGATGCCAAGTTCACATGCTCGGCAACCACTGACCCAGAGGAGGTGAAGAACATGAAGATTGTGTGGATGAAAGACAATAAGCCGATCACCTTCAGCGACCAGAGGATCATCTTCAACAGACAAGATGACTCGCTGACCGTTAGTGGGAGTATCGTGAGGGATTCTGGGACATACACCTGTGTAGCCACCAATGGGCTTGACATGTCAGAGGCAGGCGCTATGCTCACTGTCAAAGGTAGAAATCAATTTTAGCATGAGACAATGGACCACATTTTTCAAAACAATTAGATATTTAGTTTTGTATCTGATATGCAGAGCGCTAAGAAGAAAAAGTGTTGCAATGGTTTCACATCTCAGTGGAAAGACTCATGCTACAAATCATCCCTTAAAAAAGGGGATCATAGCACTTACATGTTGTGAGTTGTATTGGATGCAAAGGGTTATACATTCTGCTTGATCATAAGGTTTACAAAGTTATCTGTTGTGTCCTTTAGTTCAAGTCAAGATAACTTAGTTGTAGGATTCTTGAAATGTATTCTTTTTTTACCACTGCTTGATTGAGGTACTGGTTTTATCACAGCAGTTAGCAAATTAAAAAATCATCACTAATGAAGTCATTATTGTTAGTAAAGGAGTTGACTGATGGCAGATTTCTATGCTAGAGATATAGCCTACTTTAGATGGCTTAGTGTTTAAATTGTTATAATTTTACAATGTTGTCTTGGTTAAAATATGTTTTTATTTATTTGGTAAAAAGGAATTTAAACAATGTAATAAAAAACATTTCCATTTATTTGGATCAATAATGGATCTTATTTTATCTTAATTCCAAGAAAAAGCCAAATTGTTGTTGTGTTCATCTAATGAAACTTTAGATCATCACAGTTTCAAAATACTTGCTCATCTAATAAAACTTAAGATCATCACAGTTTTAAAATACTTGCTCATCTAATAAAACTTTAGAGCATCACAGTTCAAAATACTTGCTCATCTAAAGAATGATTCTTAAGCTTCATAAAATGTTGTTAAAAATTAAATTAACCCTCAAGCGCTGAGGCCAGGGTCTGATCCGTACAGTTGTGGAAGTAAAATAAATTTGACACTTTACACGCCTGATCATCTCGTTGTATCCTCAGATATCCCTGAGGCTCCAACAAAAGTATCTTGGGAGTTTTGTAACAAAAATGCTACTATCCACTGGATGCCAGGAAGTATCAACAATTCTCCACTGCAGTACTACATAGTACAGTACAATACATCATTCAACCCCAACCAGTGGACATTTGGTCTCAAGGTAATTGGAATGTCTATATCAACACATGTTAATTTACTTTGAGTGGAGGCTGACCAATTACATTGAGCAAGCATCCTAGGCAGAAAGGGAATGCATCCACCAGATTCAACAGCCTTGCTCTGTTGTTTTAATTGTTTTCTTTTATCCTATGTTAGTCTATGACCCATGAAAGCATACAGGAAATATAATTTAGCAGGATCTCATGCCATTTTAAATAGTGTCCACGTTACATTTATCAACTTAATCAAACTTTTGTAAAAAAAAAAAAAAACTCATTTAATTTGGCAATCGTCGTAAGTGGACAGACCTATTTACTTATTTATTAAAAAACTTTCAACAGCACTATCATCTCCTAAATAATGGTGGGTGCAGTTATGAAACTTTTATATAGTTTGATGTAAGTTTCTGAATGTCGTTTGGAAAAATTGGAGTGAATTTGGTAATAGGAGACAGGACCGGTTGGTCTTTTTGACGAATTGATGAGTGTAATTGTCACTTAAGGCCAACTGTTCACCAATTCTCAGCTCTTCAGACAATGGAAACCCGATTTTAAAATGTCTTTAAATATTTTTAACATTAAACATTATGACTAGTCAAATGAAAGGCTTTAAATAAACTTGCTTTGTTACAAACTTCAAATGTTTCCTCTAATTTAAAAAAAAAACAACAGAATAGATGTATATCATTTTTTTTATCACCATCAGGCAACATTAAATTTTACACTTACACCACTTAGACAAACTTTTGGTTATAATTTCCTTTGCAAGCAGCACTCATTTCTGTCAAAACTCCAATGCATTTGTTTGTGCATGGGACCATACCTAAACATTTCAGGTGGATGCTTCTCAAAGCAGAGTGAATATGTCCCTTTCTCCGTACGTCAACTATACTTTCCGTGTGATTGCATACAACAAGATTGGCCCAAGTGATCCAAGTCTCCAAACTCCCCGTGTCTGCTCAACAAAACCTGAGAGGCCCTCCATTCACACTCAAACCCTGCGCACACTTGGTCATCGTTTTGGAAAGTTGTACATAGAGTGGACAGTAAGTCTTAGTTTTATATAATTCATTTTATGTTTCATCAGCATATGGGTGGGGTGGGGGGTATGGGGGTAAAACTTTTTGTTTTTGGGGAGAAAGAGAAGTTGATGGGTTCCGCTTTCATATCAATGATAATAATTGGTTGAGGTTGTTGTTTGGCTATGTAAACATGGATTTGATGATTAGATGACTTGAACTGAAAGAAAAAAAAAAATTTCTGATTGAATGTACACTATTTTATTTATTAACATTTTTTTTGTACTGTTTGAATTTGCCCTACTCAACTTGCTGGAATTGAGTTTAGAAAAATCAAACAGGAATTATAAGACCCTTACTGTGTTTAAAATAAATTAGGACACTCTCCATAGTGTAAGATGGAAAATAAATTGGTGTCATTCCTCAGCGTATCGTGACTAAACAGAAGTGTCTAAAGAAAATTAAAGTTTGCAATGAGATACTGCTTAAAAATTAAAATTTTTGGTGTCATTTTGTCAGAGTTAGATATTAAGAATTTAAAAGCTTTGTTTTTTTTTAAAATGTTAAGTTGTTTAACCTTAATGAATGCATTTGAACTTCAAAAATACTTGTGGGCTGAGCTCAGACCTATGATTCAGTTCTAATTAATGATATTTTTATAATGGAGATTTAGTTCTAATTAATGATATTTCCATAACTGAGAATTAGTTAATATCTGTTTATTTTTCCTTAAGCCTGTGCCTCAAGTAATGCAGAATGGACCAGGGTTTTACTACTTACTGCACATACTCCGCATGGGATCTCAGGCAGAATCACAGTTACAGACCATAGCCATTGATGACTGGAGGGTCAGTTCATACGAAATGTCAACTGGGATGGTGTATGAACCCTTCAAAATAATGCTGAGATCTATCAATAGCATTGGAGAGTCTGTGTCTGCTCCTCCCACGATCATTGGCTATTCTTATGAGAGCAGTATGTTTTCTTTTCAACTACCAGATATTTTGTTGTTGCCGTGTTGCAAGTCATCTGATACCGTCATCTTTCAAATGTGATATAATCAAAGTGAACTGCTGGTCATTCATTCATAATTAAAACAATTTTTTTTTTCGTCTTGTTTGTGTAGATCTATTTTTAAATAATATTTTAAACCATTGACGACTATGAGAATTTACCCCTGAAAAACATTCATTACATAAAAAAATCTTCATTTCAAGCTAGACTGTGTTTTAGTTATAGTCATACTACTTATTTCATTTAATTTCATGGCTTTCATGTTAAAATACATCCATTCCATTAAGGAATTCTTTATTACACACTGAAAATATTTCATTCACTGTATGGGACCGAGCTATTGCTCTTTAATGGCCCCGGCAAGTATGGAACAGGCCTGCCTCATCTGCTGGGCAGACCCGTATAACAGGCTCTCGACGCGGTTGGCTGGGATAACCCCAGTCACGCCAGTCTCTAATGTTGGGCACCCGGCTAGAAGGTGCTCTACTGTTTCCGGTGCCTGTCCACAATGGCGGCAGCTCGGGTCCCGTAGTGGGTTCAACCTATTTAGATAGCTCCTCGTGGGGCAGTGCTCTGTCCTCATTTGTGTTATGAGGTTCTGCTGGTGTCGCCGCCCTTTCGGTTAGTTTTAGGCATGTTCCGGTAAAGCTTTCGTGCAGTGGTACCCTTTTCCCATTCTTTCCTCCATTCCTCCTGAAAGAGGTCCTTTAACCAGGCTTTGACCCCCAATTGGGTCATATGGGGTTGGGAAGAACCTTGTTTTGCAAGCCAGTCAGCTCTGACTTGTGGGGGGATCCCCGCGTGTCCTGGGATCCATTGAAGGGTCACGTTCCCTCCGTTAGATCGTATGTCTCGCACGAGTTCCATGATTGCCTGCACCGTCTTAGTGTCCCAAGAGCACCTCTTCACAATTTCAAGAGCACATTGTGAATCGGTGAACACTAAATTTATTACACACTAAATGACTTCATTACACACTAATCTGTCTTAGAATCATTAACATACAGTTTTAACATCACTGCGTGTTAAGATCTTTAAAAAAAGTTAAAATGTATGACATTTTTAGCCCCGACCATTACACCAACCAATTTCATGCTGGTACACGTTGGTGACACCTACGCTGACTTCAAGTGGGACTTTGACAAGAGCGAAATTGAGAAACTAAGATCAAGGATTCAAGGGGAATTTAAAGGATTCAAGGTAACTTACAATTGCAATTGTTTGGGAAACTTATAGGATTAGATGTAAGTCTGTAAAGACTTTGTTCCAAGCTTATAGCTAGAAGAGAGAAACAAGTCAAGTATGACAAAACAATTATCTTAGTGGGTATTGAAAATCTCAACGATGCAGATGGAAATGGTGCTGGTGAGTATATGTTTATAAATCATCTTGCTTGTCATGTCACTGTGTCCAGACACTCGCTTGTGATTCTACAGTATCCAGACACTTGCTTGTGATTTTATTGTATCCAGACACTCGCTTGTGACTCTACTGTGTCCAGACACTTGCTTGCGATTTTACTGTGTCCAGACACTTGCTTGCGATTTTACTGTGTCCAGACACTTGCTTGTGATTTAACTGTTCCCAGACACTTCCTTGTGATTTCACTGTGTCCAGACACCTGCTTGTTGTCAACTCCTAACGTCTTCTTGGATTGATTACATTCGTCAGTTCTTTTCACACGTTGAAGCGTCGTACTATTCTCACTATCATTGATCAAACTCAACTCCTT